TGATGTTGCAACTGGTATCCAAATCAAACAAAAGGGCTAAATTGGTGATTAGAAGTAGATTACTGTGTTTTTACTGTGTCTTTGACTTTGATAAATTTCACCCAGCTGAATATCAGCCGACCTTCAAGGATACCCTGGAATGATCACCCTCTATAAATATGGTAAAAAATAAAAAATAAAAAAAAACTCAAACTGAAGGTAGGTCAACAAATGAGGTTGCAACTGTTATTCAACTCAAACAAAAGGGCTAAATTGGTGATTAGAAGTAGATTACTGTGTTTTTACTGTGTCTTTGACTTTGATAAATTTCACCCAGCTGAATATCAGCCGACCTTCAAGGATACCCTGGAATGATCACCCTCTATAAATATGGTAAAAAAAATTAAAAAAAAAAACTCAAACTGAAGGTAGGTCAACAAATGATGTTGCAACTGGTATCCAAATCAAACAAAAGGGCTAAATTGGTGATTAGAAGTAGATTACTGTGTTTTTACTGTGTCTTTGACTTTGATAAATTTCACCCAGCTGAATATCAGCCGACCTTCAAGGATACCCTGGAATGATCACCCTCTATAAATATGGTAAAAAATAAAAAATAAAAAAAAACTCAAACTGAAGGTAGGTCAACAAATGAGGTTGCAACTGTTATTCAACTCAAACAAAAGGGCTAAATTGGTGATTAGAAGTAGATTACTGTGTTTTTACTGTGTCTTTGACTTTGATAAATTTCACCCAGCTGAATATCAGCCGACCTTCAAGGATACCCTGGAATGATCACCCTCTATAAATATGGAAAAAAAAAAAAAAACTTTTTTCATTATGTGTACATATCCCTTGAAAGGCAACCCGACTTTTGGGGCAAAGTCGGGTTGCGCGTGACTAACACCATCAGAGTAAACAATATTGTTTGTTCAAAGGATTATCATTGGGGATTAACTCAGCAGCACACGTTATTAAGCGGACTGCCCGTGGTGGAATAAACAGCAACATTAGGTCCATGAATTAACAAAATTTTGTGCCAATATCAATCCGCAATTTACTAAGTAGGTCTATTTTTATAGGTACCCGTATATATCTGTATTTCCTATGTATATGCTGCACATTTTATACGCAATTTCCACTCCAAAATTTGGGATGTGATGCAGCCTATGTACCAGTCATTAACCTCCTCTTAAAAATTCAGGATCGTGGACCAGGGCGAAAATCATATAAAAAAATAAGTTAGGCCCATGATAGCCTAATTTTATTAGTGTAGCTAGGTTTGCTGACCTAAAATTTTTGTAATTATGCTCACTACAGTGCTGTACTAGGATTTCTACATTTTCTAAAACAATCAAGCAAGGGTTTAGCCTAGGCCCTAGTTTTTATTATTTTCGTATTACGTTTATTCATAAACAGCATTTGAAACACAGTCATCAGGGTCGGGTATTACTTCACAAAACATCGTCACACAAAATGCACATGGCCGGTTGAAACACTCTGTACAACGTCTGGTTTGCTGGTAGGCTTGTACGTAATAGAAAGAATGCTACAGTTAAATTACAGTAAACAAAAGTGTTAAACTTCTAGAAGACCTGTGTTTTTTTTAAGTTAACACATAAATTTCACAAGTTTTGATTTATTCCAAAAACATAACACTACATAGCAAATTATGCTTTCTATAACTGCACTAGCCTCCTGGCAACCAGACGCCGTAAAGCAAGTTTGTTTAACCAGGTATATTTTATATTCGCATAATCTCGAGGACTGAAAAAATAATCATTTGTTATTGTTTTGAGCGAAGAAATGTTCAAATAAGAACAACGTGTCTTAAACATTGTTTATAAATGAACGTACCATGAAAATAATAATTTTAACAAAACTAACCATTGCTTGAATGTCGTAGAAAATGTAGGAGTCCTAGTACAGCACTGTAGTGAGTATAATCACAAATAGGCCAGCAAAAATAGGCTAATTAATTAAGCTAGACTGGGCCCAGTCTGATTTTCGCCCCTGTCGTTATCCGGAATGTTTAACGAATATGTTGATGACCGGTACACAGGCCTCGCTCCAAATTTCAGGGCCGAAATCGCGTATAAAATTTGCGGCTTATACACCGGAATATACAGTAATAAAATAACAATAAATGTAATGTAATAATAATAAATGTTATAATACAAATGTCTGGTAAAATTAATTCATTGCTTTTAAATTTGACTTTTTTTTAACTCAATTTGGATCGTTTGGTTCTATCATTAAATCTTAGTCGCTGCAGTATTGTATGCAAACTTGATTTCATATAGAAAAGCTGAACAAAAGATTGAGAAAAGCTGAAGCAAAATTGAATTTCTTAAACCATGGAGGTACATTAAAGTGAAAATATATGCCTTTATGCTGTACATTACAGTATCACCATACTGGTTTTTTCACATGCCATTTTACATTAAATACAAATTATTACCATATTATGAAAATTTAAATAAAAATTCACAAAAAAAAGAATAAATAAATAAATAAGATGTAGGACAGAAATGGTTGATATCTTAAGCTGTAGCATGCATTTGTTTGTAACAGGCCCCACACAGCATGTTTTGGAACTGGAACTACTTTTACGGAATCTGTGTTTTGGTGTCTTATCTAGACTGTCTTTGGAAACTACTCATTAGCCTGGTTCACGTCGAAGTTAAGCCACTTATCTAAATCTTGAAATATGATACAATTTATCCCTAGTTGCGTTCGATGCCAAGTTAGAGCCAGATAAACACAGCCAGCCAGCTTCGCGGCCGTCGACGTTACACGGTGGAAAGGTTTGCTTTAAAATAACGTCTACTGTATTTTACGAGCCTGTAGAAGGGGTATTCGTAAAAAAATTGACAAATTCGTAAATTACTGTAGATCAGGTGTCAGTTTCCACTACCTAGCCTAGCTATCCTCTGCCATTGATATATAGGCAACACGCAGGTAGTATGAACCAACCAACAGTGCAGCAGCGTGGTCTACTGCAAGTAGTAGGCTATATATGAGGCCCTAGCTAAATTTACCTGCGATAAAAACCAAATTATTTTCTCTAGCATTCTCCCATTTAACAAATTATTGTTTTATTTTTCATTAAAACGTCTGCATACTTTACGGACCTTTCTGTCGTGTTTCTTTTTTTTTTTTGGGGGGGGATTTTTTTGCAGTTTTTAGATCGCTGGATTAATGTGTTGTTTACATGCACTTCGCGAAAATCTAGCTTCGCGGTGTCAAATAAGTTGCTGACTTCCACACTTTTTTGTTTCATCATTGTAAACGTGCGCTCATTTTAACGACTGGCGTTGGTGGTAATTCGTTGAAACTGAATTAATAGTGACTATTATAGCACAAATGGAAAAGATTGAATTGTCAATAAATAAATACAACAAATCTGATTTTATTATTAAGAAAAATATACATTATCACTTTGAAAAACGTATGCAATCAGACTTTTTAACGTTATTACTTGTCGATGATGCAAAGGTCATTAGTAATATTGACCATTCGTAAAACGGATGTTTGCTGGGTTTTTACCCATAATATTACAAATAATTTCTGAAAACCAGACTAATGAGACTATTTCGCTGCTGTTGTTAGCGTTGTAGCGTTGTTGGAGTACGTTGTAGTGTAAAACCAGCTTGAAGGAAAAGGAAATTAGGACGATCAAGGATACCACAAAGGAGAATGGATATAACATATAAACCGTAGGATGGTCACAGTTGAGTGATTCCATCCCAGGCTCTTTTTGCAATAAAAAGTCTGCAATGTCCATAGAGTTATAATAAGAATATTAGAGCGCTAACTCTAGTGCATTTAATGTTCTAAATACACAGAGCTCTGTGTGTGTACTACAAGATGGCTGCTGTAGAATCAGCCAATCAAAGTACACCTAAGCATCATTTTCAGTTGCGCCCCAAATTTAACATAAAAGTACACCTAAGTTACCTGAATGTTGAACCTCTAGCATTGCGGTGTAGCAAATTCGATTTTCATTTAGATTCCTTAATACTTTATTTTTAAATTAGATAATCTACTTGACTTTTTGTTTAGGCTAGATTAAGAATTTATTATTATTACTGTAATAATAATTAATGAAATAATAGTTAAAGGTTTTATTTATAGCTGTAATATTTATGTTAATCCTGAAGTTAGTGCTTTTCTTCAACGGCTGTCTTGTGACTACACATTATACAACTTTGTATTACTTCCTTGCCTAGTTAGCACTCTAGTTGTTATAATAGCTCTTTGGTGAAGTCGGACAAAATGATCTTATAGTTTGTATGGGGACTGATGATGTCATATTTCACCCATATATGGGCATTTGTATACCCATGGGCAAATCCCATGTATTTGTCACATAAAATGTCATAGAGTGGTCAGTCTTGAGTCTGGGTCGTACCATAATTTTAAACCAAGATCACCTTCTATTTTTTAGGCATTAATTTTGGACACAATTCATGGAATAGAAGTCGTTCAACTTCTTATGAAGAACAATATCACAAGTACAGAAGAATGGCTGTGGCAAAAACAACTACGCTACTATGTCAGAGGGGATGGCATCGCTATAATGCGCATGGTGGACGCAGAATTTGAGTACACATATGAGTATCAAGGTAAGCCTCCTCATTCTTAAATTACATTTGTTAGCGTTTCAATTCTCATCACGGTCTAAGCGAAGACCTTTTATAGCAATGGTTTTAGCGTAGTGACTTTAGTAAGACCGTCTAAGTGATAAAGCCAGCTTTATTCGAGGAGTTAAGACCATTTTATAGCAATCCGCCCCTGGTATGGATAAAAATTAATTAAACAATTTCAATTGTTTTCTTTGAGTTGAACATTCTCAAAAACTATTTTAAAGACCGTTTTAAGGCTCTTCCGAGTAGGCTTTAAAATTTAAGACAGCTAACTGATTAGACTGCAGTACAGCAATGGTCTATAATCATAGGCCAGTAGTGACGTCACGATTATAGCCTGCTATTAAGACTGTCTAAAGACTGCTTATAGCAATCTGCTCCTGGTGACTTTTTTCTATATAAATGAATAATTGTTAAGTGACAACTTGTTTGCTTTTAACCTTCAATCCAATCACAGAATTTTGTTATAGCAAGTTCTGTGTCTGATACACAATTATTTCTCTTCTTTGTATTTCTAAAAATGCTCTCAATATGGCATCTTTGAAATAAGTTTTCTACACAACATAGAATTTTGCAGCTTAAGTTGCTGACATTCTTAGATACCCATGTTGTACTCCAGCTCTGAGTAGCAATTGTGGCAACATTTACAGATATATTTAATTCTAAAGTTGTTTTCTGAGTTTGTGATTGGAGATCATCCGAGATCATTGTACAGGGTAGAGCCTTTAGGATGTACCTTGCCATCTGTAATTGTAGTCTTTCAATTGTGTCAGTGTCACAATTGCTTCCACTGACACCAGCACCTGAAGAAGTGAGGGACCATGTGACTGGAGTCAGAGGCACAAACATTTTTTTCTAAGCCTGACTTACCTATACTAAACTTGTATAAGTATTAAAATTGCAATCCCCTATCAATAAATATTAGAAAGTAATAGAGGGCTGGTGTGTTTTCAAGACATGGTATAATAAAAGTCTTGAATAATAAAGAAGAATATCATTGATTATATACCACATACATAAATTCCATGCATCTTATTGGTTAACAAGTGGGCAATAGAACTATTACTCTATGGGATGGTAGTTTTTTTGCCCTGCTGCACGATGTGCATTCGATAGTCTGTGTTTTGCTATATAATTTACGACATGCACGAACAGTGAATGAGACGTGACCTCTACAACGCTGAGAGAGATTGGCCCTATGATTTCACAATTCTCCTCATAAAAAGCAGTCAATATTTGTAAAATATACCTCCATAAAAGCCATCAAAGCTAAAATAATGCACTGAAAGGTGGTTTTGTGGTGTTTTTGTCTTGTACTCTAAATGTTGTATTGCAAGCCTGCATTTTTTGTTTGTTAAATGTATTATAGATTATAGCTCAGTTTTACTTCGGCTTTGACTTTGATAGATTTCGTCCAGAGTCTATAGACTGATTCATATTGTTCTAAATTATCTTTCAATCTCAACCCCACTAACCTTTAATTCTAGAATCACTGTTTCAATAGATGGTGTATCATAGTGATATCTTGTGTAACCACCAATTATATAAACTGTCATCAATCATTTCAATTATGTATATTTCATATGACTTTGTAGTCCCCTTCACCGAGAATGAAGGTTGAATGAAGTTGATTTAATATAATATTTTTTTCAGGTTTTACAATTTTAGCATAGAAATTATATGCTAAAAGAACTATGTTCACAATAAATTTGTGAATGTTGTTATTCATCCAGTAAGTGTTAATTATTAAATTGTATTTAAATCAGAAACTCGAACTTACTATTATTAACATAACGTGACTGACTCGTGACCAATCCAACGGGTCAGTTGTCTGAAGAAGTTCAGCGGAGCTGGACAAAACGTCACTCAACGTTAATAATTGATTTAAATACAATTTAATATGTTCACAATAGAAACCTTAATTTGACAAAATCTGCTTCACTTTGTCTAAGTTTTTAAAGCGTTTCGATTGCAAGTGATTGATTGTAATGGAGAAAAATGATTAGAAAAACAAAAAAATAAAGAATTAATCAGAAAGATTATCATAATGAGTTGATTTAAAAATATACCAAATGGATGTTCATTCTATTTTTATGAGCTGCCACTAAATCGTACATGTATTGTGTTTGAACAGAATAGTGCAGTAAGAAAATACACACTGTTTGGTGACATTTATATTTAATATAATCATGCGAGTCGAATGGCCCAGTGGTGAAGATGGGGCATCCACAGACGTAATAGAGAGCTTTCGATTTGTGCGAAGACGCGACGCTAGAATGGAATCACTCATGCATGACCGTCCTACCTGGTGTCCTACGTTCTCTGCATACGTAGATTTGACCAAATTGTGTTCCAGAATCTATTCGACGAGCTGACCTTAACGTTCTCGCATGCGCAGATGACTTTTAGTGACGTCATTACTTCTACGTCCTACCATCATCGTGCAATCGAAAGCTCCCTAATATTGGCACTGTTTCGAACGGCCAGCTCGCTCCTATGGCTCTGGAGGTGGAGCAAGTCTTCTCGGATAAGGACTATAGACCATAGGCCCAGTGTACTCATGTGTGGCTCATGTGCATTAGGGTGGTTACCCTGGTGCACTGGTCCATCTCATAGCCCTGTCCTCATCCAGATGCTGAACATGCGTTGATGAGTGTCTGCATAGAATAAAATAGAATAGAATCATGGTGACCTATTTTATGTGGGGGTGTGTGTATGTGTGGGGGATGTGGGTGTGGGGATGTGTGTGTATGTATGAAATGAATATTATTTAAAGGTGCTGCATAGACAAATACATACGTAAATGAAATACAAAGATATAGTCTGATTAAATTAAATTTGCCACAGTTTATTGAAGATAAAAATCAACATGATCTTTTGGTCATAGGCATTAATCAAGTTATGGAGATAAGAATTAAAGAGATTTTCAGTCGTAGACCTTAATGAAGTTATGGAGATAAGAGTTAAAGAGATCTTTTAGCCATAGACCTTAATCAAATTGTGAAATGAATAGATATACAATAAACTGATAAGAACAATTGTAGGCCTGTCATTAAACATTTCATTTTCACTGTAGAATTGCTGAAGTCAGTTTGAATTATCCTATTTACAGGTTTATTTTTGCTGATGCATGATGTTATTTGTACATCTGATAACAGATTGAGCAGCACACTGTTCATAACAAGACTGAAGTTATCTAAATATAATACGGATTAACAGGAATACTTGATTAATTATTATAGAGTAGGCTTATGCTTGAAACCAACCTTTTCATTTGAATCCTTCAATAATTTACTTTTACTTGGTTTTAGATCAAGAATACTACAACAATTAACTACATATAAAACCTAATGAAAGTTTTCAAAGTTTTAAAATTGTAATGGATTAATAATGGGATTAAATAACTGAAAAATAATTGCATATCATTTGTATATTTTTCTTAAATGGCACTCTTAAACTGACTGCCATGCAGTAAAATTGTTTTAAGACATCTAAAACAATTTTAGAGAATGACTTGTAAACTTATTACTTTAGGGTCTATCAGTTCACTGTTAACCATACCCCTCCTATCTTCCACTAAACTTATACTAAACATGAATTTAAAATGGTGAAGCGACTTCAGTTAATGAAACTTGATTTTATTTTAACTTTATTCCAAATTTGGAAGTATAAACTGTGGAGTGTCTGCCTTTTCTCACTTGCGAGGATTATTTGGGGACTTCTAATTAAAAATAGTAGATACTGTCATATCTTTTGACTATTTAAGAAAATTTGAATTTAATATTTAAATCAGCCTTAACTAACTTACATTTAATATGAATTGAAATACTGAAAAAAAACTTCGCCAACCGTTATATATACTTTTGTTATTAGAGACAGTGGTCAACTTATCGTACTTGCACGAATAAGCGCCCGGGTGCTTAAAATATTTTTTGCACTTTCTGAGGGGCACTTATTCAAACGGGGCGCTTATGAAAACAGAGTGGAAATTGAGTGGGCACTTATGGAAATAAATGAAAATCGAGGGGTTCTTACAGGAAATTATTAAACTCAAGAGGCACTTTTTGAATGAAAAAAGATTATATAAGGATTACGAATGGTGGTTAGAAAAGATGGTCGTCCAGAGAACATGGCTCATGACAAGAATGCGTGAATATTTACATAACAGCAAAACAGCAGATGCAATTAGTGGTGGTGGGTAGTGGTTAGCTTGTTGGCCATTTCACATTCAATTGTTTTGATTACTTTAACAACAATTGACTGACTTTGGGTCACATCTTCTCCTCCCATTAATTTTAGACAGTCTGCTTTTGTTTTTATTACACTTCCAATGCTACATTTCCATTGCAATAAAGAAGTGTTTTTAATAATGTCAATTTTTCCCACATCTTCTGGTTCAGTCTTAGATGTCTGTTCTTCGAGTTTGTTCTTCAGTTCTGTAATTATCATATCACTTGATTTCATTGCTGTTGTTTTATCACTATTTAATAGCTGATTCAGAACACTCAATTGTATTTCTATATCAGATATCTTTGTCTTCAGTTCATCAGTTTGCATATTGGTTACCCTTTTTTTCTGTTTGTAGATTGTCTCTACTTTATTTTCCATTTCATCTCCATTTTCTTTTATTTTATTTATCATTTCTTGCACAATATTGTCAATATCTCTTAGGCTGGTATCTTTACTTTTTTCTAATTTTGTATCATTCTGAAGAACTCTTTTGAGGTCCATTTTTATATTGTCTGTAAATTCATTGGCTGCTTCTTCCAGTTCTGTTGCAGTTTTTTTAAACTGTTGAAAGGCAGGTGGAATTCTGATAGTTTGGTGTTCTTTTTTGATGTGGTTCGTACCACATTGCTCGCATATTGGAATTTTACAGTTGATGCAGTAAAACTCTAAAGGTTTACCATGCTTCAAACACAACAGAGGTTGCATCAGATCTTGTGGCGTCATTGATTGTACATTCTCCACTGTTAGTAGCTTGTGGTTTGCCAATACTGAAATATGGTGTTCACAACATGTAGAGCACAAGTAGCATCTGCAGTCCTGGCAGTAACGTTTTGCTTGTTTAAATTTACAAACACATTTCGTCTCATCTCTTATTGGAAGTTGTTTTGTATTTTATAATATGCTATTAAGATGTGTATTTGGAGGAAGTTTCTGAAGCCCGCCGTTTGGAATGCAATGTGCTGTCATGCAGGTTGGGCAGACCAGCTTTCCTTTTGTTTTAACCCAGTCTTCTAGGCAGGCTAAACAAAAACTAAGGGATTTAGCATTTTGAAGTCTCTTTAAGCATATATTACACTCTAGTGTATTTTTTGAAAATTTGAAATTTTCCCCTTAATAGGGGTTTTTAGCATGATTTTGTACAACGATGACTTAAGTTAGTACAGTCGACCTTCCCATTTACGTACACCTTGGGCTGAAAGCAGTTCGTAATTGAGAAAATTTAGTAATTGAACAAATAATACAGATGCTTATTGAATATCCAAACAGTGGTTTATTCTTAAAAGGATAAAAAGTTGATGTTACCATACATTTACACTCAGACTAGCTAATTCGATTTACAGACTTGCATTTAGACCGCAGTTAACCATAAGACAGAGTAAGGTAGGCCCCTAGGTATCGGCTGCCCAGCCTTACCCTTAGCCTAGACAAGGTAGGCCTAGCAGCATGCACTGCCTGCCTGAATTTCGACTAGTTTTGATTATTTTACATCATGTATTGGTTTGACTTTCCTAAGCCTAATGTAATATGATGTATTTATGGAATGTACTGTATAACTAGTACTATAATGCAATAAATAAATGACCTTTGTAATTCGTTTTCCGTAAAATTAATAAAAATAGAAAAAAATTAGATGAATAAATCTAGCGATGACGTCATCCGCTGAACGTTCGTAAAATAGAAGTTTCGTAAATGAGATGTTCGTAAATGGGAAGGTCGACAGTACTTTCATTTTCATTGAAAAGATAGTAAAATTAGAAATTATTTATAGCAATAATTGCCCCACCATCGCTGGGGCTGAGGTTAGAAAATTTTGTAAAATTTACACTTCTAGATGCTTGGAAATAGCACTCAAGTTTTTAAAATGCCAGACTACTGAAAAGAATCACCCTGGTGGAAGGTTTAACTTTAATTTTGTTTAACATACTGTCGTGTCATTTTAATCAATTTATTATAATCTCCATGGCATGGCATGACAGTTCGTTTTCATGGCATCTTGTAGGCTTATGTTTGTTGTTTTGTTGAAGGTTAACTGATCGTCTGGTTTAAGGAGTTGATTTTTGTGTTTGGACCGAATATTTTCTTATTTTGAGACTGCTATAGATGTTATGATATTTGATTTGATTTGATTTATTTGATATCAACAGAACAACATCACAAAACCAGAAAACAGAATATAGAGAAACAAATATTGGAAAACAAGATTGCCATCAATGTTAATATCTGGGATGACCCTCTTGTAATGTCAAGTTACACCTGTAATAATTCAGCTTCAGCTGCTATTTAATGATTTTATATATGTTTGATATTTTCAAAATATAGATACAGTTACTTACAATAGATCTGTTATAAAGTAATAATCAAATTATTTACCTGAATTTCTCTGTCTACTGATACTTTAAACTAAAGTATGTAGGCACTGAAGTGTCCCTATTCACGGTGAAAATGGAATTTAAAGTAGTTTGTCACCCTATCTTATGTGTGTGATCAACTGAAAAATTTACAAACAATAGAGGGCGCCAAATACAAAAAAATAAAGCTTTCTAAAATGGATTTTTTTGCAATTAAAGTAATAGTGTGACTGTAAAGGTGTTCGATTATTTCTCTTGTTTAGTTAATTTGATAGTACCCCCTCTATTGTTGAAATGCCCTAGGAAATCATCCTGCAGGAGGAAAGCTGGACTAGGCTATGATGAAGGGGAAGCATTCCTGTGTTCTTGTTTCGAAGTTAATGTTAAGTGTTTTTTGCTGCCGTAGTGGTTAGAATTTACTATGTTCTAGTTATAAAACTATATGATATTTAGGGAATACTTATGCAAACTACAGGCTCAGGAACATAGCTAATTAATATAAAGCAATTGTCAATTGTAGTCCCGATAAAATGACCCGCTAATAAATTATAGAATGATAAGGCCTACTTGAAGGTTTAGCTAGCTATGTCTGAATGGGAGAAACAGGTGAGAGCTAGGTAGGAGCTAGGCCAAGAAGATAAGACTGTTTACATCTACGGGTAAATTTTAGGTACGTCCTGGCACTCGGGGACACAACCATGTGAACGTCCACGACTCAGTCCCGGCTAGTGCCCTGTTATTGCTTGGGTCAGGGGAGCGGGGAGGAGACCAGACTACAATTAACAAGTGCATAATAATCTTATAATAGTGTGTGATCAACTGAAAAATTTTACAAATGTAGAGGGCGACAAATAAAACTTTAGACTTTGTTATTGTACTTTGAACAATAAAATCTTTTTTGTTTACCAATGAAAAAATCCAGTATCAAGTTAATATTTGACATAACCAGGCCTGTATCCAAGAGGGAGAGAAGGGGAGGCTCCTCCCATTGTATAAAAATCATAAAAATATTTCTGAGGAAAAAGCTCTTCCCCTCGACCACAACAAGGGTAGCTCATTGTGGATTTCAGGCCCTCCTTTAGAAATCTTAGATATGGACCTGTAGACGTTTGAGTTGATGGGGGTATTAGCCCAATCTAATGGAACATCTCATGATCAAAGTCACAACAGTAATAACAAAAATATTTAACATTATATTATGGTAGATGTGCTACCCAGTAGGAGCTGTTTAGCCCTGATAATTCTGCATGTCATTTGAGAGGACTCAAAATTCTTAAATAATACCACCAAAATTTCGTATAAGTAAAAACACCACAAGGCACTTTATAAAGCAAGTAATAGACTTTAATCGTGATCGCAGACTCATTAAGCCCGATCGTATAGCAAACATGTTTCGAGAAAACGATTCTCATCATCAGTGCAAAAGATGAAAAATTTTGCCAAAGCTTATATGACTTTATACACATGTATGTAAATAAGCAAATTAGAAAAGCGACTAGTGAAGCAAACCACAAATGTAGGGACCACCCGTCACGGCGGATTGTTATGTAAATTAGTACATAAGAATCAAACAGCGAGCATGATATTCAAGTTGTAAATTTGCTTATTAAGGGAAGGATTGTTCCAGGTAATTTTGCAAAGCTTCCTTAACTTTGAGTTTATAAGCTGAATCTGCAGAGTCAAGAATGGTGAAACATCTCTCATTAGCAAAATCCCGACAGCATTCTGAAGCCTGCAAATGTTGAAAAATATGAGAATTCCCGTCCCTGCACTCGTGTTGGAAAGTCTCCTATTGGTTTCTCCAATATACATGGAATTACATCCCACACAAGTGAATTTGTATACAACACGAGCATGGAACACTTCGGGAATGGGGTCCTTCACTCCTAGAAAATTAGAAATTTTGAACTATTTAAAAGCTAGCTTAATTGCAATTCCATGACAATATTTACTAGTAATTTTGTTAATTCTGCTCTGCACAATACGTGCAAACTGTAAATATGGCAATTTAAAATAGCAAACATTAACATTGTCTTTAGGGGTCTCTTTAGAGCCAGAACAAAGGACGTGAGCATCACTTAAATATCTAATAATTTTGTCATCAATAAGGTTATTAGGGAAACCATTTTGACATAAGATGGTTCGAAGAACTTCAATATCATTATGAAAACCTAGCCAAGAATTATTTAACTTATATACTTTATCAATTAATGTGCGAATAAGGCCGTTTTTGTAAGATGACGCTGTAAAGCTCAGAAAATTAGTGAGGAGTCCTGTGAAAGTAGGTTTCCTATACACCGATGTTTTCAGAAATGACCCACCATTATCTAGCAAAACATCTAAAAAAGGTAGTCGTTGATTAATTTCATTTTCCATTGTGAACTTAATGTTCGAGTGCTGTTTGTTAATATAATAAACATTTTTTTAGCATGATCATTTGAGTTTAGTATACAGAAAATATCATAACGACGATAGAACGTAACCGGTGTGTGGGTGAAGTTGGTTCATGGTGACCCATAAATAAATTCGCCAAAACAGGTGACAAAGGCGAGCCCATTGAAACCCCATCAATTTGATCATAAATTTCATTATTAAAAATAAAATTAGTTTTTGCAGTGGCAAATAGGAACAATTCAAGTAGATCATTTTTAGTTAGTTTCATGTTATAATTTTCATCTTCAAGTGATATAATTGACAGCAATCTCAATGCATTCAATAAGTGGGATATTGGTGAATAAGCTGGTAACATCAAAAGACACCATACATTTGTGGTTGGTATCAATATTTTGAATTTCCTTAACAAAGTCGCCACAAATTGTCTAGGAAGAACCGGATCTAATAGTTGGCATAGGAACTTAGCCAAATTATAGTTAACAGATCCAATCGATGAAACAATTGGTCGGAATTTTGGAATAGAATTTTGAGATGTTAATTTATGCTTTTTCGGTAACCCATATAACCTAGCAGGCTGTGAACCGGTAGGGTAAATTTTCTTGTATACCTCATTATCAATTTTCCCATTAATTTTCAGTTGTCTTAAAAATCTTTGTAACTGTCCTTCTCTAGTGATAGTAGGATCTTTCTTTAGCAACCAAAATTTGTTGGAGTCTTTAAGAATGTCCAAGATACCGTTAACATAGTCCATTCTATTCAAGATCACCACGCCATTGCCCTTATCAGGTCTAATTATGACGATGTTCTTGTTCTTGCAAAGATCTTTTAGAATTTGGCATTTCTTTA